GCACGCGAGCAAGGGCGCGCCGGACAACAAGATGCTCATCAAGATCGGGCGGGCGGCCAACGTGCAGCGGCGGATGCAGCAGTGGTCGCGGCAGTGCTCGTACGACATCGAGGTGCTGCGATACTACCCCTACATCCCGGGCGCGAGCCAGGCGTCGGGCGAGCAGCCGCGGATGGTGCCGCATGTGCACCGCGTCGAGCGGCTGATTCACCTCGAGCTGCAGGGCATGGGGCTGCACGCGGGGCCGATTAACTGTGATGGGTGCACGTCGGTGCACCGGGAGTGGTTCCAGATTGACGCGTCGAAGAAGGGGATCCAGGCGGTGGATGAGGTTATTCGCAGGTGGTGCGATTTCGACGAGACGCAGGTGCCTTGAGGTGGTTGAAGAGAGACGACGGCATTTTACAATGGGAATAAACAGCATGGAGGACATATGGCCGTGAGAGCAACAGGAAACATCACCATGGTGTTATGTATTTAGACGCATTGGCATTTCGGCATCAAACATGGACGACGGCCTGGTGTTTGCGGGCAAACGGAACAGCACCCATCCCGGACGGAAGAAGGAAGCATGGACGGTGGAGTTTTACGGTTCCTTGCATTTTACGGGTAGCATTTTTCCATAAACTAAGCACTTGCTGCATTTTTTGCTTTGCGCATCGAGTCCAGGAACCCAGATCGTCCCAGAGCGGCGGGACGGGCAAGGGCTCGCATGCGCCGTCGAATCGGATGGCCAGTTTACACTTTGCCTCCCGTCTGATGCAATTGTGAATTCCGATGGCGCAATTCTTTGCGGCTGTTAAGTGTTCCATCAGGGTTCAAACGTTCTCTCTGGGAGCAGCCATAATCCCGACCGCGGCTGGAACTTGTGAACAGAAGCTGTGTTGGGTGTGGACGATGCTCCTGCGTTTATCCTAACTGTTAATGCCATCTCGTCTTTTCACTGGTTTTGTCTCTGGACAGAGTTGCCTCATGCCTTTCCGAGAGTGTCAAAATGGCATTAGGTGTGTGAGTGTGTGTGTTCGCTCGACGTAGCCACCATGAAGACGCAGAGAAAGCCTGTCCGCCTTACGCAGTATTTCTCTGTGGGCTGCCGCCCGCTCCACGGCGCGTCCAATGCTTGGCTTCCATGCCGATTGTCGTTTCTCCGCTGCTGAGCTGACCCTGCATGCTGCATGCTACATCCCAGCTCGTCTGCCAGACCGCGCACTGGGGCCATCGCTGGTGGTGTCTGGCGTCCCCAGTTTCAAGCCCGAAGCATCTTTGCGTATGCGACGCTGTAATGAACAAGATGACTCGGCAGAGAGTGCCCTTTTCATTCTCCTTGGGCAGCTCTTCCATCAATGAACTCGAGTTGAGTCGTCGAGGTGCAGGCACGGTTGAATGCGGCTTGTAGTCAAACATAGCCGACCGAGGAACGCAAATGGCCCTGCCAAGCTTCCTCTTCCCCCGCGTGCCGAGAGGTCGCCTCATCTCTTGGCCACTTGGCCATCTCTTGGACTCTGCGCTTGGCAATGGGCACAGCAAAACCTTCGGGCCACACCGACGCGACGTCACCAAGCTTTCCCGGTGGCGCATCCCTCGATGCTTGTTCTCCGCCGATCCCTGTCCTGTTCTCTCTGCATCCGCCAACCTCCCGACTCAATTGGCTCTTTATCGACCACTACGGATAGACCGTCGAGGCAAGGCTTGGGGGCGCAAGGGAAACGTTCGCCTGGCCCGCCGCTAAGGGCAGTCCGGGCTGGCTCTTACGTCTGGTTATTGCCGACGGCAGTAGGCGAGAGATGCGTGGTTCGACGCCGGCGCCGCATCCCGCGATGACGTGCTCTGGAAAAAGCGCATTGTTTGCTAATAAGTACTGAGAGAGACTCGGTCGTAGGCCGGCGTGGTGAAATCTCTGCCCGGGGCGGACTCCGTTTCCACTCCCCCCTCCCCTCCCCTCCCTCCAGGCCACATCGTTGCCTCCCGCGTTGGCGAGTTGGTCTTTGCTAGCTTCCTACTGGGTGGCTGGCGTCCGCCGCGGGTATTGTAATCTCTGTGGAGGAAGAAGAGAGAGGCTAGCGGGAGCTGTGTTTCTCGTTTGCCCATGGAGGATGTACATGGGATTCTGCCCGGCGGGACGTATGTCTGGCATGTACTTCGTCTCTATTTGCGCTGCACATGTTCGTTGCCCGAGGAAGGCGAATTCCCTTTCTCTTCCCATTTGATCTGCTCTAGACTCTAGCGTACGTAGCTTGACATGTGTGCAGCTTGTAACTTCATACCCAGTTTGCATGCAAAGAGTACCTCACCTACGTCTTCATGGCAAGGAACCCGCGTCCAAGACCCCATGTCCCATGTTCCATGCTTCCGTCCCCGTATCTGAAGGAATCGAACTGCAACTGCGACTGCGACTGCAACTCGATGGGGGAGCTGATCATTCCTCTTCCCGTCGTGCCCTCTTCTCTACCTTACCTGACTTCATATACCTGCACGTCCCACGTGTTGTTCTGCCTGTTCTTCTCGTCATCATCCTCCCCTCCCTCCGTGCGCCGCTCGCAGTCTGTTCTCAACTTCTGACATTACTTCATCTCTTCCCCTCCATCCGTTCCCTCTCTCGCACTCCCACACACATGCTACGTCCCTAACCGTGCAGCGCCCTCCGTCGCATCACCCATTGTCGTCGCATAGCATCGTCATTCCTCACGGTTCACTCGTTCGGCGCGGCATCATTAGACGACAGTCGCCTTTGCGCGATTCATCGCATCACCCGGTTTCCTCAATCGGGCTCCACCACGAAACCCACCGGGACGTCTTCAATTGCACAATCGAGAGGTCTTCCGCCATGGACAAGGAACTCCGCCAGCCCGAGGGCGAAAAGATCGCCTCCGAGCTCAACTTCGCGCGCGCCGACCCCGAGTCCGGCGGCGGCTCGACGGGATGGAGCGCCTGGTTCGGCGGGCGGAACACCAAGGTCGGGCCGAGGATAGCACCCGTGCAAGAGGGCCTCGCGGACGGCTCCGACAGCGACGTCAGCGCCGATGCGATCCTGGGCAAGCAGCTTGCTGAGGAGGACGGGCATGCGATCAAGTATAGGACGTGTAGCTGGCAAAAGGTGCGGCAAGCGGCGGTGGTCTTGGTTTGGGACTCGGGGTGTGCTAATAATGGGGGATAGACCGCTGGATTGCTGTTTTCCGAGTACATTTGCTTGGTGAGTTTGGATCGTTTTAATGGAGGAGTGTGCTTGACTGACATTGGCAGGCTATCATGAGTTTTCCGTGGTCGTACAGCATTCTGGGCCTTGTTCCCGGACTGATTCTCACGGCGGTCATTGCGTTGATCGTCCTCTACACGTTCGTCGGCTCCCATCCGCCGCAAAAGACTTACCCGCTCACAATCGCAGATCTTTGGTTCTCTGGCAGTTCTGCTTGAGGCATCCGGAGGTGCGCGACGTTTGCGACATTGGCCAGATGCTCTTCTGGGGCAAGAAATGGGCCTGGTACGCCACCGCCGTCATGTTCATCCTGAACAACACAGTATGTCTGCAGCATCTACCATATTACACATCTTGCTAACAATCGATAGTTCATTCAAGTTAGCGACACGATTGATGCTCTAAGAACAGCAACTGACATTCCTATAGGGCCTCCACGTCCTCGTCGGCGCAAAGTACCTCAACACCATGACCGAGTCGGACCCCGTCACCTGCCGCACCGTCGTCTTCTCCATCGTTGTTACCATCATCTGCTGGATCTCATCCCTGCCGCGCACCTTTGACGCGCTCTCCAAGGCCGGCACCGCCTCCGCCGCCTTCACCTTCATCTCGGTGCTGCTGGCGACCATCTTTGCTGGTATCCAGGCGCACCCCGCCGGCTACGATCCTCGCACTTCCTATGTCGACAAGAACGGTGTCACCCAGACGGGCGGAAACCCCATCGTCACCGCCATTCCCATCGCCGGCACCACCTTTGTGTCGGGCATGAACGCCTTCTTGAACATCAGCTACACCTTCATCGGCCAGATCACCCTGCCCAGCTTCATCGCCGAGATGAAGGACCCGCGTGACTTCCCCAAGGCTCTGTGGGCCGTCACCATTGGCGAGATCATCGTCTTCAGCATCGTGGGAGCCGTCATCTACGCCTACACCGGCAACCAGTACATGACCGCGCCGGCCTTTGGGTCTCTCGAGGACGTGTACAAGAAGGTGTCATTCTCCTTCATGATTCCGACGCTCATTTTCCTCGGTGTTTTGTACGCCAGTGTGTCGGCCCGCTTCCTCTTCTTCCGCTTGTTCAAGGGCACCAAGCACTTGCACGAGCATACCGTGATCGGCTGGGGCTCATGGGCTACCATCCTGCGTGAGTGATGACTTTATCAATCTCGAAGCTCTCAGCTAACGTGCGCAGTCGCCCTCTGGCTCTTGGCCTTCTTGATTGCCGAGGTCATTCCTTTCTTCTCCTCCCGTAAGTGTTCCCGCCTCGCATCCTTGGTTCTCTTCTAATGCTTGGCAGTGCTGTCCCTCATGTCCTCGCTTTTCGACTCATTCTTCGGATTCGTCTTCTGGGGAGTCGCCTACTTCCGCATGCGAGGTGCCGACAACCGCGCTGGCGTCCCCAAGCCGAACAAGCTGCTCGACCTCTTTTCCATGGGGCTCAACATCATTATCATCTTGACCGGCCTCCTGTTCCTAACGGCCGGAACCTACGCGAGTGTCGAGGGCATTATCCAGGAATTCGAGGCCGGTACCGTCGGCAAAGTGTTCGGCTGTGCTAGCAACGGCATCTGATCTCGACGAAGCGAGAAGCGCGTTTGACTATTAATGCGATGAAAGTAGTGACATGATCGAGCGCGGAAATCTGCATAATCATAATGATGGGCGTATACACAGCCATGATACCATACCATAGACACAACTGCCTCAATTGAGAGCTTGAATACGTTTTGCTCATATTGGTCTATCGCCAGTGCTTTTCTCGCTTGCTGTCCCATGAGACCTGAACGCCAAATATCCCAAACCGCGTCTAGCAAATGCGAATGTCTCGCTTTACGAATGAAGTACCCCGGCCAAATGCCTCCCCCTTCAACATTCCGTGCACGAAGCACTCACCGATAAGCTCCACCTCAGCCGACGCAGAATCGTACCGGTGACGGAAGCTGTACGGCAGCCGTGCTCCGGGTAGTACAGCTACAAAGTCTCGCTCCTGGCTCTCACTCGCTACCAATCCCATCCCGCCATTCGAAGCGATGAAGAACCTTCGCCCGTGGCAGCTGATGCGCAACTTCGTCACAGCCTCCTCGTCTACCCCCTCGAAAAGGTGGTTGCTCTCCACCTTGCGTCTCTCCTCAGGAACCAATAGTCGTCGACAGATTACCCTTCGAGCATCGACGTATTCATCGTCGGAGTCGGTCATGATCGTCTGGATGAAGCGCTCCATTATTTTGGTAGGACACTCTTTTGTTGTCTTTGCCTCGACGATGCCCCTCCACTGACGGAATACGATGTCCTCCCACCCGGGGGAGGATACATCGCACGCTGCCCCAAGGGTCTTCACGTCCCCCACGCAGATGGCCGGAACCTCCAACTTCGCACCGGTTTCCCCTGTGAGGATGCGGAAAGCCTGCTCCCGCCCGCCGCCGGCGTTGTACTCCGTCAGCGGCAGATGCGCCAATATCGTTCGCGTGTTGGGGGTGCGCCAGTCGGGCACCCAGCTCGGCACACCGCTACCCTTCCCCTGGACCGCGGAGAGTAAGTCCAGCCCTGTGGTCTCGAGGAGGAGCGTCGCGAAGTTGGTGTAGACTGTCTCCACGGGGGCCGTGTAATTCACCATCCGCCGCCGTGTTTTTTCATCCTCAATGGCTTCGACCGCGCTAGCCACCCTCTCGAGAGCCTCCCCTTTGCCGCGGGTTGAGGGGTTGCAGGCGTCGCCTGAGAAGAACCCCGAGCGCCGGTACGAGTCGATCTGCGGTCGTGTCATGGGGAAGGGGTACAGCGCCAGAAACGCAAATACGCGGTCGCGCGGGTCCGGGGCGGAGCAGGGCGATGCCTCGCAGAGGGCTTTTACGAATTGGGAGGTTGTGAGGGTGGAGATGTAGCCGCGCTGTTTGAGCCTTCGGACGGGCTGGAGGATGGGGGCGTGGAGGGGGAGGAGGCGGGCTGCGAGGGAGAAGTTGGAGAGCGGGACTTCGAGGGCGTGGTGGATGATGACGGCGTTTCGGGCGCGGGAGAGGTGGAGGATGGAGAGCGTGGAGGAGAAGAATGGGTGGGCGAAGAGGGAGTGGAGGAGGGTTAGGGTCGAGGGGGAGGGGTTGCGGAAGCGAGATGTTGAGATGTAGGTTATTGCTTCGGTGTGGTTGACGGCGGAGAGGAGGGGGATTGTGACGCGGGTTGCGGCGTGGAAGATTGAGGGCGTGAGGAGGAGTTGGGAGCTTCGTTCCGAGGGGGAGGAGACATTGATGCTGAGCTCCGGGAGGTAGAGGGTGCGCGGGCCGGTGGGAAGCCGGAGAGTTGCGAGGGCTTCGGCCGTTGAGGATGGGATGTGGAGCGGAGTTGGCGATGTCGGGGCGAGGATGGGCGGGAGGACAGTGATTGTCGATGTTGTGTTGTCGTCGGAGGGTGGTGTGAAGGAGATGGCTTCGTATGGAGGCGCGTCGTTGCGGTGGCATGTCAAGATGCGGCAGACGAGGGGGTCTGACGGGTCGGTTGCGGGTTCGAGGACGACGAGACGAATTTGGTCTCTTTCGAGGTGTGTGTAGTGGTAAGATGAACTACTTGTGTGCGCTGCTGGGCTGGATGGAGTGGTGGTGGGAGTTGGCGATGCCATTCTTGGTGTTGAAGGCGTTTCGGCGGCCACGTGGTTATGCGTACACTCGTTGGACCTCATGTTGGGCAGATGCTGAATGCTGGATGAAGGGACAGAAAGACAGGAAGGAATAGAAACAATGGAAAGCCACCTCGTGGAAGGAAGACGGGACCTAGAAGAATGGAAACGCGCGAAGAAGACGCCCTCTCTGCGGTTTTGTTTTGTCAAATTCGTGGAGCTTACTACTAGAGGAACAAGACCTGGCTAGAGCAACAACAATGATAGACACTAGGCTGCCACGTTTCGCGGAGATGCTGCTGCAAAACGCGGCGCACCGGCCTTGGAGATGGGGATTCACCGAACACTGCCACTGCAATGTTTTCCCACGGGCGCGGCGCGCGCGAGCGACCTAACGCTTACCCGCAGGATGCGCCATGCACGAGGGTCCGTACGACGGATTGCCGTCTTATTTGCTAGCAACGAGTAACCTTGGGGGGTGCTAGGCCCAACGAATGCCGAGCGGGCGACATCTTGTAACCTTCTAGCGTGGTTTTGGTGAAAGGGTCTGAGGTTTCGAAGGTGTACCTACGCCTAAGTGCCGGTTGTGGCTGCAGACGGTGGGTGATGAAGAAACAAGACAAGAGACAAAAGAAAACAGTGGTGATCGGACCCCTTTTCTTGGGGGATGTACATTTGGTGGCTCTCGGGCCGGGAGCCGGAGCCGTCTGGTGGCACTTGACTGTTGTTGGAGAGGTTCGAAACAACGTTTTGGAGAGTAGGGCTGTGCTAGAGGAAGGGCCGGGTGTTCATCCGGGAGTTCATGCGATGGGAGATTTGATGGGATGGGTTTTCCTGTCTCCCGTTCTTTGGACCGTGTGTTTTGGGTTCCATGGTAGACTGGGTTTCGTGTGAAATCAAGCCACTTACGGTGTGGCGGATATGAAGGACTCAAGACAGACGGCTTCAGGTGCAGAAACAAGCTTTTTCACAATTCATCCTCTCATTTCGTTATATCTACCTGACGAAAGACAAAGTATCTTACATGAATTATTGGTGAGCATCGGTCTCAGACATGAATGTCATGACATGACACAGGAGCCGCTCTTATCCCTCTTGTGGTGCTTCGGAATGTGGTTCTCCAGCGCGCAACACAGCGGATGCGCGTTCGGCGCGAAGCACTCCGGCCCCATGTCGATCACCCGCGCCTTCCGGTTCGCCCAGCCCTCGCCGTAGCCCGCCGTCGCGTGGTACACGCAGTACACGCGGCTGCGGTCCCGCGGGTTAGGTAGGAAACTCGCGTGCCCCGGTCCGAACGGCCCGCCGCAGCGCTTATGACTCTTGAGCAGCGGCGTCGACCGCTTCGCCCACGACGCCGGGTTGAGCGGGTCCTGGCCGACGAGCGGGAGCAGGCCGAGCTTGTAATGGCTCGTCCAGCTGCCGTCGGCGGAGTAGACGATGCCGCGGAAGACGCCGGGGATGTCGACCCACGACGGGCCCTCGTTGACGCCGCGGCGGCCGTCGTCGGGGCGCTCCCACTCGAGCTCGGCGCGCGAGATGCACACCAGCGTGCCGGGGATGGCATGCTCCGGGTCGGCCATCTTGATGAGGAAGAGGTCCTGCTCGGTGTCGGAGTGGTCGCCGACGGGCCAGCCGCTCCAGCAGCAGTAGAGGTCGCGGGTGTTGGGGGAGAAGACGGTGGCGTCGATGGACCAGTGGTCGGGCATGCCCTTGAGGGGCCCGAGGAACTCCCAGGCGGAGGCGTCCATGGGGTCCTGGGAGGAGCAGCGGAGCAGGGTGGTGCGGTGGCCCGGGTTGCCGACGCCCGGGGGCGCGCCGCAGGTGTAGATGTACCAGCGGCCGTTGAGGTAGTGCAGCTCGGGGGCCCAGATGTTGACGGACCAGGGCGTGCCCGGGGCGGGGTGCCAAACGGTGGACTTTTGCGGGTTGTGGAAGTGTTCGAGCGTGGGCGAGGACCAGATCTCGATGCGGTTGTCGAGGGTGAAGGTGAAGTAGAAACGACCGTTGCCGGCGATGATCCAGGGGTCGGGGGTGTCGATGTTGGCGATGATTTTGTTGGACATGGTTGCGGTCCCTCTCTGTCAAATGACTATGCCAAGCTTGGGTTTGGGTGCAGAGATCTGGTGATTGTCGCAAGTGGTAATGACCGTCAGGGGCTTCGTCGTGTTTGTCTTTGAGATTGCAGCTTGAGAAGCACGTGGTTGAGAAATCAGGGTGAGTGTGAGAGTGAGAGTGAGGCTTGAGAGGAGGCTTGTGAAAGGGAAAGAGGAAACGCCGTTTGGGCCGCTGGGCGGGAACGTCACTGGTGTTTCAGCCATAGTCATCTGATGTTTCGGCCATGCGGTGAGAGGATCTACAGGGACCGGGGCTGGGGTTTGGAGGGGCCTGGGGAGGCGTTTGCGTCATTTCTCCGCATGCTCGGCCCCGAGTTCGTGAACTTTAAATAGCACACGCCGTCTCTGGTGGGTTTAGTCGGGTTTGTTAGTCAGTCTTGGAAGTTGGATTGACTTTGGGGCAGAGATTACAGCAAACTTGGTGATGACAAAGGGAGGTACACATTTCGTTGAAGCTGGCAACATTGAACTCAAATTCAGCTCTAGCGGATTGGGTGAGAATAATAAGCAGGCTTCTTAGCTTTGCATAGCGAAACCTCCCGCAACCATCGAGCTACCATCTTCTCTAGAAGGCATGGTAAGAACTTAGGACGGAGAAGAGGTGGTATATTTCATTGAGTCCTCTGCAAAGGAGGGATACCCTTGGAGAGTATTCAGGAAATGTAGAGACTACAAGGCTTCAGGCCGGTAAAGAAACCAATAATTGAGGAGCTGAGGACCTCTTAGGTAATCCTCCTAGTCAATCAGCACGACTAACCCTTTTTAGCCCATATTATGCAGCCTAGCTATCCTAATAACAGGAGACGGGGAACTCTCCTGATGATCCAAGGAGCTTTTGCATACATCGACACACATTGTGATCTCAATAACGTCCACACCCGTGGACGTCTAGCGCAAGCTTGTTAATATCAGAAGTATAACACATTGTGAAACCACATCGACTCGGATGTATCAATAATCAGACTAATTGCGTGAGCCCAGCTGCGGGTTTTTGTCGTCAATAGCGGGTGTGAATCGGCCACAAATCATCAAATCAACTGTCTATCCTGCTGATGAGCCGATGATGTTAGCATTCTGCACATATTCTTACGCTAAGGAGACCATTTGTCATGAGACTAGCCTTTGCGACAACATTAAATCCGTGGAGATAAGTAGAAGCTTTACCAATTCCTAGAGCGCCACAGGCGATGTTCACTAATCTCGGAATTTCAATGTCATATAAGGTATGCCAGCGTCTACGTATGAAAGTGCAATTATTCACCACACAGTATTCCTTCCTATATCAGAAGAAGCTTTCGACACTTCAACTCAAATACAACAGATCCTTCTCGAGAATATGGAAAAATGGTCTACCCACAAAGCCCTCGTCATCCACACCCTGCAGCAGCCTCCGTCAATTATTGAACGGCCAACTCCAGTTCCAAAGGAGGACGAAATTCTTTTGAAAGTATCAATTGTTGGATGTAAGCTTTCGTTTTAGTTGTTGCCTCTCCTTTCTTTTGGGTGTCAAGCCATACTAAACATCAGAAGTGAACCCCCACGATGCTTCGGGAAAAAGATACGGGTTGTTCATCAAAGACAACTTGCCCTCGCCCCTGGGTGTAGATCTCGTTGGGGAAGTCGTCAGCTACGGCCGCGATGTGACCCAATACCAGGTCGGCCATCGCGTTTTCGCGTTCGGCAGTCCGTTTTCTCCGGACAGTACTGGCACTCAAGAATACTGCGTCGTACCAGCATGGCAGTCAGCCCTGCTGCCGAAGGGCATAAGCGCCGACGAAGCGGCGACTTTCCCGCTGAACGCCATGACCATGGTATTTGCATTGTTCCACGAGACTGGCTTGAACTTGCGCAGTCCTTTTGGTCCCGACAAGATTGAATGCGACTACAGCGCGGAATCGATCCTGATCATCGGTGGCGGGTCTGCTACAGGCAACTTTGGCGTGCAGCTGGCCCGGTTAGCGAAGTTCGGAAACATCATTGTGGTGGCATCGAAAGCAAGAGAGTCCCACCTTAAGAGTCTCGGGGCCACGACTGTTATTCATCGCGCGCTGGACGAATCTCAGATTGAGAGCCAGATCAGGGACGTGGTCGGAGATGATCTGGTTTTCGCTGTGGACTGCGTCGGACGCGGTCCAGGCGGGCAGACATTGGGCGTCAAGGCTCTCTCCAGCCACAAGAAAGGGGTTTTGGCCGCCTTGATCAAGCTAGGCGACGTCGACGAGTCTCGAATCGGGTCAAAGTCTGCTGGCTACGTTCGGAACCAAGTGCTGTGTCACACGACGAAATATCCGCATATCACGAAGGAATTTTGGGGTGTACTGCCAGACTTGATCGAAGATGGTACCCTGCGGCCGACGACCTTTCAGATTGTGGACGGTCTGGACGTTGAGATGGTCGACACTTTCCTCGACAACTACAGCCGCGGTCTTGGACAAACCAAGCCTCACTTCCATTTAGGGAATACCTTCTAATAGTGACAACAGCTTGTTGGAGTCGAAAAGAAGTCCAAAACGAAGAAATATAAGTTGCTAATTTCATACATTCAGAGACCTGGAAGGCTTCACTTAGACAACGTGTTTGCTGGAGGGCTATAAAGTTACTAAGGTGCAATACGGCGCGGCACATGAGACGTAAAGAGCAGTACCCAAGTCAGCCATTGGGGAATAAACAATATTCCAAGCTTCATTGTCATTGAATACCAGAGCCTTGAAATGTTTGCATAAATGTCGCACGCAATTTGTCCAAGTCATGGACCTCAATTTCGTGGGGTGCTAGTCCGACCCAATTTCTGGTGGCGTCCGACTAACTGAATCAAGGCTTCGGCAGAACGTTTTCAGATGGAATCATTGCCGAGAACACGTTTGTTTTTTCGGTAGTTGGGGCAGTTCGGGTGACGTTAACGCGTTTTCCGTATCTCTTCGCGTCGATCTAGTCAGAGCACTAACCGTCCTCGCGTCAATTTCAGATATATTCTTGACGATGGTGTTGCCACTTCTCAAGCTCCAGACACGACTGATAATTGTCATGGGCTATTGTAGTCACCTTGTCTTATACATGATTAGGATAACCAAGTGTCGTCGACCTGTAGATACAATCTGATTAGTCGACTCAAATCGAGACTGATCGTGAACACTGTTATTCAAGTTTACATTGTCAGTTGCAAATGGGATTGTCAATGGTCGGTGTCATCCGTTTAATCAGCTTTTCAGATCTGCACGGCCACCGGTGAGACACTACCAGCCATGGCTTGTCTGTTTTATCCCAGCCAGCCATGGTTCAGCTTATCCCATTCTGCGAAGTCTAGGCGTGATCTGGACTACATCTCTTTCATTCACCACAAAGTATCACATTTCGTGTCTCAAGTCTTCATCCGCTTGCGAAATTTTCCACGGCCTGCACACGGTCACATGTAAAGCATCAAGTTAGAATTTTCGAACATCTCGTACGCAACCGATATTATCATGCCAGATTAGCAGCATTGAGCTTTTGGATTTGTATTCTCATGTTTCATTCTATGGTAAGCCAGCTAGCCGGTGCTTGCAGATTGCTTCACGGATACATGTAATCACCCTTACCATCGGAGTGCCATGATTTTAGGCACGTGGTCGTCCAACCCGTCAACAATCGTTTTCTTCAAATCTTTGAACTCACAACTCCTGCAGTTTCTATCCAGTTGTCGTCGACTTTCACTACCATCGCGATACAATGGGCCTACCGAACGATACTTCTCTCTCCCATCCCGCTCTTGGGCAGGATATCCAGCTCGGCATGCTCTACGACGCGCGCACCTCGCAATTCTTCGGCGGCGTTTCCCTTTGGGATCATTCCGTGGTCAACGCCAAGCAGGAGCTGAATGAAGCACAGGTCCAAAACGCGGACTTCGTCCTTTCGCACTCGCTCGAAGAAGCCCGAACCAACTGTTCCCTCGACGCGGAGGGCTCGTTGAGCCTGGACCTCAAACTGTTCAGCGCCACGGGGTCAGCCAAGTTCCTCAACGACAGGAAGGCTACTGCCCACGAGGCTCGCCTCGACGCTTCATGCACTGTTGTGCGTCGCACCCGCCGGATTCCTCAAGAGGTGCTCGCGTCGACGAAGTACGGAAAATATCTCGACGACGCTCAGTACACACACTTCGTCGCTGAAGTCGTTGAGGGGGGAAGCGCTACACTTAGCTTTGTCCGGGCCTGTTCCTCGGCGGAAGAAGCTAGAAAGATTACAGGGGAGCTCAAAGTGAGCGTTGTCAATGTTCCTGTCAGCGGTAGCGACAAGGTCGAGTTCTCTGCCAAGAACGAGTCGCTTTTCGAAAATGTCAAGATCTCTTACAGCGGCGCCATAGCCGAGAATGTTTCCAGCATTGAAGATGCTAGAAGGGTTGCTGGGGAAATGCCCAAGACGCTGGCTAAGCAGATGAACACGCTATACTACAAACTTCTTCCGCTCTCGGTTCTCGACAGGAAAGCCAGCCGGACCATCTGCAGCTTGGATACTGGCCTCGTCAACAAGACGGCTGCTGTTCTCAAAGCCGGCTCCACCGCGGGTCTCATGTTGCAGGATCTTCTCGGTCAAGATTTGTCCCAGAAAGAATTCCCGGCAATCGGACGGCAGATTTCAAATTTCCGGGCTGCCTTTGCTGGCGCCCAAAACGACTTTGAGCAGGAGGCGCGTCGCCTACTTCCTCAACTTCGAGACGGTAACACGGACGAAAACGAAAACGTTGCAGATCTCCTGAAAGCGGCCAACTTATTTCAGCGCCAGACTGAGCTTGCCATGCGGTTCATCGATAAGAAGACAAGAGAGGCTAGCGTGCTTCAAAAGACGCTTGATTCTCTGTTTGAAGAAGAATTCGAGAACCATCTGGGAGTGATGAAGCTTCAATCTCTCACGGGCGACACGTCACCGAGGCTTTTCCTATCATTAGGAGGTCCCTCTATCGGTATTCACAAGCACCCACTCCAAGCACGGATCGAGTCTGGCCGCAAGAACTCTGACACGGGAGAGTCCGACGACGGCTTGGACGAAGAGTGGTTCGAGAACGATGACATCATTGCCTTCGTGAGGCAGTCTTGTTGTGCTCTGCGAAAGCTGCGCTTACTGCCACCTGCAACCGCTCCAATTTGTTTTGGGGTTGCAAGCATAGATACCGCATACCGCCCTGGCGGCCAAAAGAAGGTCAAGACCAGTATTGGCGACATCATCCTCGACAACCAGGGAAGGTTTACCATCGTTACCGGAATGCTTCCCAGAGCTCCTGCAGCGCCATATTTAGCCATCGATGGTAAGACAATTGCAGTAGCTCTGGTCCGGGCACGAGAGGACCTTGAAAATGAAATCATACCGACCACAGGCTTTCTGATCAGATATCGACGGCGTCAAAGTCCTCTTCGAAGCGCCGCCTTCCCCAAGGCAATCGAGAATGATTCTCCCACAGAGGTTTGCTGCGCCGCTTCAGAGTCGCATTTAGTCCTTGGATCGCTGTCAGACAACTCCGACTACGAAGTTGAAGTCAGCGTCCAGACTATGGTCGGGGCGTCTGCCTGGAGTCCTGTAACAGTTGTTCACACGCCTAAGCCATCGACTATAGCTCGCCAGATGATGGAGTTCTTTGAGAAGACTAGGCGGCTGCGACTGCAAGGTTAAGATGGTATCGAAGGAATACCTTAGATTAGTGTTCGATTATGACTCAGTAATACGAGTGTCAAGACAAGAAAACACAGTCATATGTGGAGATAGGTTACAATTTCACACTAACAATAGTGAAAAGCCTAAAGATCTCTCAGTGCGGAGATGAGTCTGAGAGTTGACAAACCAAGATGCTGCTGCGACCCGTGAATATCATTTTCCATGAAGCTTCCCGCAGGAGCCTTCTTCCCAGAGCGGAAGCGAGGGATCGTTACTTTAAACGCCAATGCCGGATCAAAGAACCCCATCCATACTATGTCGTCCGGGAAAACATTCAGAGCGTTTGCAACGATCTCTGCAGACAACAGGCCAGAATACTTGACAGCGTCATACGTCGACTTAGACTCGAAAATTGCATCTATAGTAATCTCGTAGGGGCCTGCGTTCTTAGAACGCAGAACCCGTGAGATGTCAGATAGTGTCTGCGGTGTGCGTTTTGCCCCCTCATGGCCTTTCATAGTGGGGGTGAGAGACTGTTTATGTTGCTTCGGTACCGTCACCTGCCCCTGAGAAGGGGTTTGACGACCGGTTTGTCTGGTATTTGGTTTGTTCGGATTGCCGATGGTAGCCACAGTGGCGCGGATCAACCGGGACCCAAGTCTCTCCTCGCCGGGCTCAAGGTCCATAAGGTGATAGACGGAGAACTGGCAGCAAGGGCCAGTCTCGATCTCAAGTTTGCCCGCGATGCCGAAAGCAAAGTTGCCAGACGTCGCCTTTTGACCCGGGTAAGGACCGTGCTGTGAACCTCGTCAGTTGAGAATGAACAAACTCCAAATTGAAACTCACAATCATGCCGATTCTTGCCGTAGAGACAAGACCGGTTGCCAGCTCCTGGGTGGGTGCGACGGCCTCTGCAATGATAAAAACTTCTCCTGGACCCAGTGGGGTGCTTTGGCCCTGGCCGTAAGTGTGGAAATCTAGGTCCCAATTTCCGGGGATATTCGGATGCTGCTGCTTGACATATGCCTTCACGAGGGAAAGGAGGTCGTCTAGCTGGTTGATAAGTATGTCTGCAGATAATCAGTCATATGATACCCAAGTTTGCATCATGTTGACCTACGATCCCTGACACTTCCCAGCACTATCGATCGGTATCCCAATATCTTCGCACCTTCCAGTTTAAGTTGATACGGCTGGCCACTCGCTGCCGAGGACTTGAACTCAGCTCCGCGGACGCGGATCGTCCTGGCATCTTCAAGTTGTTCGTACTTGGCAGCATGAAGGTGAAGCGCACCACCAGGACCTCTCAGAATGTCCGGCCTAGTGTTCTCATACAAAGAATGAGCTGCCACTGAAAGGGGCGTGCATCTTGATTCGGCTGCAATGGGTCGGACATCAAATACACCGCCTTGGTAGACGGTTGCGACTGCACCATGCGACTTTGGTGTGGAGCATTGCCCTCCGCACTCCATGATCTTGCCCATGTGCAGGAATCCGCCGTGTCTCTCTTCAACTTCTTGTTCGCTGAGGCCTGGATATTGCTGCTTGAGCTGGTACATGGAGTACGCAACGTAGGGAGCCGGGTCGTATGCGCGCCCTCCAATGATTACATTGAAATCCGGGTTGGCTTCCATGGCATCGATAAACGGCTCGGGGCCAATCTGGGCAACGACTCGTGGAGTGGCCTCGATATCATTTTCCGTCAAGGCTGGAACACAAGTTCCACACCCGGAGATGCGGCCAGCTTTACGTCGGTCAAAGATGATGGATTTGTCGATACCGGAGAAAATAGAGATTGTCTTGAAAGAATAGTGCCTGGTTGCGTTGGTTAGTTCGAGCTCATAGCCCAGAACGAAATATTTAACTCACTCATTACCCTTCTCAGCCGATATTTCGGCGATAATGTCTTGCATCAAAACAACATGTTCGTCCGCACCATCGCCACCGGCAGAGCCGAAGATCAACTGGACACCAAAGGTATTGACAAGCCTCAACAACTTCGTCAGATCTTTGACATATGCCGATCGAGGACAAGTCATTGTTCCGAGGGCCAGTTTCTCTGGCCCGCTGTCTGTTGAGCCTGCGTCGAGGATGATGGCGGTCGGAACGCCGGTATAGACTAGTTGAGCAAGCTCATTTGCGGCGAGATCTTCGTCGAAGCCGTACCCCATACAGCCCACAGGGGCGACGATGTGGCAGATAGGCTTGAGGTCCATGTCTTGGTTAATGGTAGAAATTGACATGATAGGTGATCAAGGTAGTTCTAGTTGAGAGAGAATATTCGGCAGGGCTAGACGGACTGAACAATTGCTTTCGTTGGGATTAAGTCTGGAATATTTGATGGCAGTCTTTTCCTTGGGATATGGGAGCAGACTGGCATGGTTTAATCACAAAGCTGAAAATAGTTATCCAGCGTCAGCTTGAGTACGAGTTGATCAGCTATCCGGAATTGATGGGGCAAAAATCAATCCAGGCAACAGTTTAGCAGAGATTCTTAACCGGGATTCCGTGTATCTACCGTGCAAGTCGTCGGGGTCGGAGTCCACAACGCACAACCTTACGGCTTTGATAGGAAAAGGCCGTTGGAGAATAAGAGCTTCGACTTGCGGGCATATTACGGCTCTTTAGCGGTCGGGATGAAGCTCGGGGGACATGGTGAATTAAGTACGTGGCTTAGACCTGTCCTCCGTATCCGTGTCCGTAGGCTACATCTTCCAATCAGAGAGGCGCCGCGACGCCGGCCGGATGGGTCTTAGCCCTGAATCCGCTCCCGTGTCCGTAGGACATTGTTTTCGTCGGTGCTTGGCTCGGACTCGCGCTGCGCCATCCTGCCACCCTGCATCCTTCCTGTTGTGATGCCCTCAAGCATCTGAGGCAGCCTTACGCCCAGAGGAAGGTATAAGGTGACCTACTTCTAACCTATTTATTTAGACTAATAATATTCTAATATATTAAGATCTACTCCTTAAAAAACTTTTTACGTTAAACTCTAATTTAGAAAATATTAAGCTATTTTATTTATATAAATACTATATATATATTATAATTAGTTTATAATAGTTATAAGCTTAGCTTATATTATACTTCTAAACTACTATCTATAAAATAAACTATAACTTTATTTAATTTAATTTTATATCTATTATATTCTACTTTAATTTTTAAACTTTATTCTTATAATTATTTTTAATTTATAGTATACTTCTAATATAATAATAACTATTAACTTTAGTATTTCTTATAAATTTATTTCTTATTATAACTTCTTAATTTAATATATTACTTTTTAAGTAGAAATAAAAACTAAAGATATCTAGAAATATATTAACTTAGATAATATTTTTAGTACTTCTTCTAACCTAAATAAAGTTAAAAGTATACTTTTATTTAATAATTAGATTTAGAAAGAAAATAAGAAATAATATAAATATTATAAAGTAGAATAAGAAGTTTATAATAAGATAGTTACTTTATATACTCCTATTATTTTAAATATATAAAAAGCTATTATAGAAAGTAATACTACTAAAACTATTAATAACTTATTACTATTTATATTAATTATACTTATTTTTTTTATTAAGAGATTTATAGAAGTTTTTAAACTTTATACTTTATACTTCACTATATATAGCTTATAAAGTGAAATATATATAAAAAGAATAAGTATATAAAGTTCTAAATAAATAGGTTAAAAATACTATTTTAGAAGAGATCTTTATACTTATTTAAATAAAGCTTTTTAAGAAAAGAGATTATACTTTTTATACCTTAATATATATTCTAAAGTAATACTATACTCTAAATAACTTAAGTAACCTTATTATAATCTATAAAGAATATATTATAATCTTAAATTAAGTAGCTTCTATTATTAACTTTAATATTTAGATTAAAAACTTCTAAAGTATACTTTTTAAAACTTCTTAGTATAAGCTACTTAAAGTATAAAGAACTTTTATATTAAAAACCTTCTTCTAAATAATCTAATACTATTTTGCTCTATTTTAAATTAATCTAAAACTTATTAATATTATTAAGTAAGAGCGCTCTAATACTAAGATCTAAAATATAAGTTAGTATATTAATATATTTAAAAACCTTTTTTATAAAGATATAATAAATATCTATTTAAAAGATTATATTAATAAAGTCTTTATAATACTAGCTAGATAATCTAATAATATAATTTTTAATAACTTTACTTTAGAAAAGCTTTTATAAAGTAAGTTAGTTTTATATTATATATATAAAAGAGATTATAAGTAGACCTTATTTATTTATAATTACTTTAAGTTTACTTTTATAAGTAAAAAAGCTTATATAAACTCTAAAGAAGTAACTTAGGTTTACTCTAAAATTAATAAGCTAAAATATTTTAAGCTTTATACTAAAATAACTTATAAAGGGTAACTTATTATAAAGAACCTTAATACTCTTAAGCTTAAAAATAGTAAGAATTAGAATAAAAAGAAGTTACTTAAGAATAACTTTAGTAGATTAAAAAAGTTAACTATTACTTCTACTTCTAAAATAAACCTCTTATTTTATATAGTAGCTTATATTATTACTAAAAATATTATTATAGAGATTATAATAGAGGAAATAGAGGTTTTTATATTAGAACCTAAACTTAATAAGATTTATATAACTTATATTTAAGGCTTAAGAGTTCTCTCTAGTAGTATAATATTAAATAACTATAGTACTTTCTACTTAATTAATAATATCTCTCTTTTTAAAGAAAGCTCTATTATTTATAAAGTAAAAAGGTAAGTTAAAATAAGTATAACTTTATACTTTATTATAGTAAGAAGTATAAAGGTTCTTTATAATATCTTAAATAGAGTAAATAGACTTTAAGACTTAATGTTTTAAAATATTACTCTTATAAATAACTTCTATATTAATATTATTTTAAAATACTTACTATAAAAGATAGGTATTTAGTACTTAGGATTTAATAACACTTTTTATATTAGAGACTATAAAGATAGTATAGAAATAAAGAAGTTTTT